TATATTATCACAAATATCATAATAACTATGTTATATAAATGTGAACAGTTTTCAGTTTGCCGACCAATTATATTAGCAGAGAAAACAAATATGCCTATTATAATACATGCAATTATTCCAAACCATCACTTTTTGCTTGCCAACAGTCAAGTTCAGTGAAAACTGTCCTATTCACACCTTTCGACTGCATTCAGTTAATACTTTTCTGAATTTGTCTTTAATTTAAAAAGAAAGACTAACAAGGTGGTACAGATGACTACCAAGGGTCAGGTAGCCTTTGCAATTTCTGAACTAAACTTTAAATCTCAGAAAAGTCCTTAAATAACAGAACACATGGATAAAGGAGAACCACCATTTCGACTGGGACAGCACCAAAATCCTGGGACAAGCTAGGCAGAGACAGGCACGAGAATTCCTAAAAGCCTGGCACTCCACGAAACACGCTATTAATAAACACATTGAACTCGACCCCATATACACTCCACCAAGAAGGAAAACTGGAAGTGAGACAATCCAGCTCAATGGACTCCAGAGTTTAAAAACCAGGCGGAAAAACACACCGACGCTTCATTGGAGCTGCACTGAGGATGTTACTCAGCCTGGTAACAAAATGTCTGCAAAACAAGAAACCAGCTCGGTGAGCCAACCAACCTCAACACTCAGAACCTGAGCTACAAATCTACTCCAAAACCTTAGAGATTCAATGTTGAGTTTGACAGATTTTTGAGATTTGTGAGCGGCAGGCAGGAAAGTGTGAAAAAGGTCGCTTTCAGATCAACCACGATCTTCTTCAGTGGCAGAACTGACTTGAAGAATCAAATGCGCTATCATCATTCTATTTCTTCAGAGCTTATGTTGCTCAGCACGCATTCCTCAAATGCAGAAATTAATTGGCATTTTATGATTGTGTGTAAGCACATATCCCTGCCTGTAATTGAATGCTAGATGCTTCATTTAATGTTCTCGTGCTGACCAGACATCTTGACTGATTGAACAAAGCCCTGACACAGAATGGGGCCCTTGCACCGGTGGGAAAATTACAGACGTGGGGGTAAATAGGCTACTCAATTGGATTAACAATAAGTGTAATAGACATCCCATCAATTCCTGGCAGGTAGCCCTCCTTGTAAAAGCAATATGTCAGACAATTGATGTGCTCTGTTTCAGAGTAAAATTACTCTCATACGTTTTCCTCCATCATAAAAATTCAGTCCATCTTCCTTCCTGAACATGACTTGAATGTAACCCATATTTCCTTTAGTTAACTTTGTGATTTAAACATTATGTCATTAATTAAAGAACCTTGCTATTGCTTGCCCTTTTCCAAGGCACCACAGATTTCCTGTAGAATGCATCACATTGCATTAAAACACATGGAGGATGACTAGAGCCATATGGGCAAGTCAGTTGCCAACAAAGTGAAAAAAAACTGTTACGTACCCATGTAGAGGAAAATCTAGGTTTTTTTCCCCTTGAAATTCTTCTTTCCAAAGTTTTACTTTAATTACATCTGGCAAAACACTGTCTTTATTCTTTATGCTCTCATTGACTTCCTTGCATCAATCAATGCACTCTAGTACATTCTCATTCCATCTACTACCAATGCCTCTCCACCTTGGTACTAACCCCTCAAGGTTCCTTGAATATCAACATAGTTATTGCTCTACTTTAATATTTAGTCTTACTGTCCTTGCATGGTCACCTTGAAGGTGTCCTAAAGTCCCATCCCTTCTTGATTGCATATTTCTCCTCACCCTGTGAAACAGCTTAAGATGTCTGAATGTATTGGCAATGCTATACAAAAGTGAAAGTTTACATTTCAGGAAGGGTCATCATATTAGAGAGAACATAATACCATTAGCATATAGATAATGATTTCAAACTGTCACTAGACTTGACTGCCAGTAAGGGAAAAGTAAAGATCGTACTATTCATACATAGCTTTAAATATGGACTGCATCCGGTATAATTTTTTAAAGACACCAACAAGGTAGGTTAGATGGCCTCTTCAATTTCCGAGCACAACTGCAAGTTTCAGAAAAGTTCTCAATTGAATAACCAGTTATTGGTGTGCAACTTCCCCATTGAATGGACATACGTAGATGGAACTCATTTGTAGAACTTACATCTGATATTGATTCTGGCATACCCACAACTCAAAAAAAATCAGTAAATTTCCAGACATCATATGTCCAAGGTCAAATTGCAAGAAATGAAGCTGGAGAAGAGAGGTTATCGTATGTGGGTATGAACAGGACATTCTCCTCCCCTGTCCCCCACGAGTCTAGTCTCCATTGCATAGCAATAGCTGCAAGCTTTAACCCATTGCAGGTGGACAGCTGAAGTATCAAATGATAAACTGATTTTCCCAATACTCAAACTGTCCTGTCTGCACAGCACATAGCAAAAAAAAAATGGTAGCTGCAGAAAAGTTCGGTGACATCCACATCCTTTATTTAAAAGGAATGGAGATGAGCACTTGAAATCTTGTAACATTCAAAGCTACGAGCCAAGTGCTGGAAAGGTTATATAGATTTAGAGATAGTAGGAACTGCAGATGCTGGAGAATCCGAGACAACAAGGTGCAGGGCTGGATGAACACAGCAGGCCAAGCAGCATCATAGGAGCAGAGAGGCTGACGTTTCGGGCCTAGACCCTTCATCAGAAAAGGGTGGTTTTTGTTGAGGAAGACTCGGTCAACTGATTCACCTCCTCTGTATTTACGATTATGACTATATCTTAAAGTCTCTCAGCTGTGCTTTTTCAAACAAAAATCTACCAGTACAATTACCACAACTACCCAATTAATTTTTCACATACAAACACACCTTATGAATTTTCCATAATGTTCTTAAAGCATTCTATCAAAAGATTGGAAAGGCTAAAATAATTCAAGTAAATTTGTGTGTAATATGACATACAAGCTCCTTTGAAGTTTTTCATTCATTTGAAAATACAACACAGAATAATATTTTAATGTTTTGTTTAATCAACTACAATATGTGATAACTCAGCTATAAAACTTAGACAGTGACAATCAGGCAAATAGTCCTTCCCAACCCTCCAAAAGTGAGAAATTTTAAGAGCCTGGAACTATTTTTCTAACAGGTCAGTTGGTATACATTTTCCTCTTGCATTCATCAGAAAAGCCACAAGAATGTCAAATTTCAAATGATCAAATGACAATTTATGCTAGGCTAGAAAGGGTGCTGATTGACTGGCAAGGTAGTCCTGATTAGCTGAGGCGTTGCCAGAGTAAACAATGGGAAACTACAGACTCTACAATCACCCAGGTAATTCAGTTAGAGGACCTAAACAGATTCCTTTTCAAAAGATGGGTCTCAATGAAGGCAAATAACTCGATTGTAGCAAGCATAAGTGAATCATGTTACAAGCTAAACTGATGAATGTAAGTTGGTTGAGAGTATAGATATTGACACATGCAGGATTGTTCAGTAAGTATTGCCCAATTACGGAATCACATTGAACAGCAAATCTTATGCTTGTTTAGGGTTCTGCAAATGTTGACTGCTTGAGTATGATCTGTTCTTTACAAACCAAAGAAATTTGCTGTTTGATTTGATCAGCCAATCACTAGGATGTATGGCCTATGCACCTAGCATCACCCTGGCACTGAAATTCATACTTGACATTGATACACCTTGTATGTCTGCTGTGGAGAAGACGAGCAATACCATTACCAATGGCGTTAGCACTAGCTACTTTCTCCTCAACCATATGCCTCTCAACACCTTCGATACACATGAAATAAGCTGTCAGCATACCTGGCTCTCTCAGCAGGTTAATGCTGACATCTGCAGCTTCCTGGAACAAAGTCCCTGTCAAACTGCAGCAGATAGTTCTACCATTTAGCCAAAAGGCTAAATGGGGAAAATTTTGTGCCATGTTCAATTCCTGGATGTGCTAAGTTTATCTCATTGAGTAAAGCAATGGAAACACAAGATGCCTCAGCAGGAATGAGCTAGAAAATAATAGATAGGGTAAAAATTCCAAGAAAGAATTTCAGTCTCAACTGGAATTGTACGAATTGCACTTTTGTAAGGCACTTGAACCTTCCATTGGTTTTGAGAGTTGTACGTCAGATGCATAATGTTGAAAATTGAATATTTATTTGGAACTAAAAGAAACTGATCAACTCGGCAATGTGGAGACAAGTGGCTAGGCTGATAATGAATGAAGATTGAAAATCAGTATTTGCACCTTCACCAGAATTATTAATAAAAATCAAAATAAATTTGCAGTTTCAACTGCAGCATAAAAACTTATATCATGAAAATATGGCAGCTTTTGCTTTAAAGTGATGACAGAGTTCCCTCAAAATTTCTGTAACTACTATGACTATTGCAGAATTCCCCTTCTTTTTGCATACTGATAAACCAAAATAAACACGTTTACATACTTTAATAGTTAGTAATTCACTCAGCAAAAGTATATACAAAATGCTTCGATGTCAGTATGCTCCACTTTTTGTACTTCAATTAAAGGAAGAAAATCCTGGCAGTCATAAACAACTACATTAAATAGCACACCACGAAGTTCCCACTTGCTCAGTGCTTCACTTAAAACCTTGGACCATGATCTTAGCATGTTAAAATCAAAGCTTTTGAAAAGCTGTAGACTTTAAAAGATGGGAAGAAAGCACATTAAAGAATTTGTAGCAAGCTATTTGATCCCAAGTTAAAGCAAATTAATGCACTGTATTCATATGATTTTATACCTGTAACTCAATGTTAACCTGAAATCATATCAATTTGTTTCAAATTTCGGTAACTACAACAGTGCAAAAAAAAGCAAATCCTGTTTGCTTCAAATGTAACAAAATGACTATTTATAGATATGTAATTTATGTTGATTATATAACAATCACAGACATATTTGAATACCTTCCACAATTCCAATTAGAAAGCCCTTCTGCTTAAATCTTGTTACCTTCATTTTCTATAAACACCATGTGACAAAACAGGCCTGGAGCAGACAGCTTTACTGAAATATATATTTTATTGGAATATTCAGTATATATATATATAGAATATAAATAAATTAGTCTAAAATACTGCAGGCTAAATGATTTTATCCCACTTACAAATGAACGTCTTCTTTGGAAAAAAACAGAAGCCCAATGAAAGAACTCCACAAAATTGATAAAATAAGAATAATTTGCATTATCATTTTGTACACAAATTTCTTATTTTAACTTAGAGGCTTATTAATTTTACATTTGGCTGCTATGTAAGATGTCCTCACCACAAATGAAAACCTTATTGTCAACAAAACATGTAGTAATATGCATTCGTAAAATTTTTAGAAGTAAAATGAAAATGCAGATCGATCTTCAATACGCTGAAAGTGATGTCCAAGTCACACTAAACTAATTAATCACAGAGATCACAATATTTTGAAGTATCAACAGCTAGCATATTGCTTCAATAGCATTACACATTTGTGCACATATATGTTGGCTGCAGCAGTTTCATGCATCTGTAAATATCATATTTCTATTGCTACAATTAGGATTCTAAAAATGGGGATGAGCCAAAAGTTCAGATGTGACATTCCTTCTCAGGCAGCACCATGAAATATTATCTTTAAGCCAAAATATATTTGAAAAAAATCAAAAATACTAATTTTGCACTTCATTCAAATATTATTGAATCTTCTGAAGTTTAAAGATTAATAAATGAACACATGCAAGCTGACACTTCTGGAAAAACACTTAAATTTTCAAGATATTTAAAAATTGAACTAGCTAAATAATTGGAGGATTCTGTTCAATGACTATCTTAAATAAAGTATAAAATCTGAAACTATTGCCCATCCGGATTGAAACTAAAACAGCAATGAAATCATATACTTGTTTAGCACCACACATCCACAGTTATATTTCAAAGTATTTCCATGGGTTTTAAGTGAATATTTTCCATGTACTAAGATTGAATCCAGAGTTGCACGTAGATGTATGGTGTTGCATGTGTATTTGCTACACAATGCCTTACAGGGCATTTTATACCAAGAGCAATCACAGATTGCAGCTCATGTAGCAGAGTGAAAAAAACTGCAATTTCTGCAATTTTGAAACAGGAAATCTTATTTACAACTTTTTACATTCATTTGGCATATCATCTTTATCTCCTATTGTCCATATGAAATCTTCAAATTTCCACAACAGTACTTCAATCTTGATGAGGTTTTTCTGGAATAACTTTACACTCATACTGTAATTAGAAAGAAAATACAAAGAGATCATGGTTAACAGGTTGTACAAAACTTGAAGACTATCAATTATGAACATTGTGCTGTTTCTTTACTTGTAAAGTCATCGACAAATACAATTGGAGTATTAAAGAATAGAGGAGGAAAACATTGCAAAAGCAAAATAATGAAGATACTGGCAGTCTGAAAGAAAATCGGAAAATGCTGGAAACAATTAACAGATCAGACAACATCAGTAGAGAAAAGCAGGGTTCACATTAAGGATCACTGACCTGAAACATTAACTGTTTGTCGTCACAGATGCTGCCTGACCTGCTGACTGTTTTCAATATCACTTCAACTCTGCAACCCCACCCTATTGAAAGGGCAAGTAGATGAGCAGAGGGGGCAAATCTGCCTTGTTTGTAAGAATGAAATTAAATCGATAGCATGAAGCAAGATATGATCAGAAGGCAAATAATCTGTGCAAGTACAGTTGAGGTATCGCAAAGGAAAATGTAAAAAGACCCTGTTGGGAGGTACACACAGGCCTCCTAGCAATAGTCAGGATGTTGGGCAAAAAATAAATCAGGAGATAGAAAAGGCGCAAAGGAAAGGCACCATTATAATCATCATGAGGGACTTCAATATATCGGTTGTCTGGAAAAATCAGGTTCGTAGCAGGTCCCAAGGAATTTGTGGAATGTCTAAGCTTTTTTTTTGGAAAAGCTTGAGCTTAAGCCCACTAGGGATCAGGCAATTCTGGATTTGGTGATGTGTATGAGGCAGAATTGTTAGGGAGCTTAAGGTGAAGGCATCCCCAGGGAGCAGTGACCACAATACAGAATTCACCCTGTAGTTTGAGGGGGAGAAGCTGGAAACAGATGCAATATGATTACAATTGAGTAAAGGTAATGACAAACACCTGAGGAAGGAGCTTGCCTGAGTTGACTGGAAGGGGAGCCCAACAGAGACTAAGATGGATCAGCAAATTCTGGGGTAATTTGGGAAGCACAGCAGAAAATTCATCCCAAGGAAGAAGAAACTAATGGCAGGATGGGGCAACCAAGGTGGCAAGGGGAAGTCAGGGATAGCATAAAAGTGTACAACGTGATGATTACTGGGAAGCCAGAGGATTGGAAAGCCTTTTAAAAAAAATCAGCAGAGGACAACTAGAAAAGCAATGGGGCAGTGTGGGGGGTGGGTGCAAAAAGGAGGTGATATCAGGGTACATTAGCTACTAATATAAAAGAAGATTGCAAGAGTCCTTTTTAAGATGTATAAAAGACAAAAGTCAAGAGTGGATATCAGGCCACTGAAAAATGAGGTGGGAAAAGTATAAACGTGGAACACAGAAAAGGTACTCTGCATCAGTCTTCATGGTAGAAGATATCAATAGCATACCAGAACTTCAAAAGAGTCAAGAGGGAGAGCTACATATAGTGGCCATCACTAAGGAGGTGGTGTTGGGAAAGCTGAAAAGTCTGATGGTGGATAAATCACCCAGACCTCACTTCTCTGAAGGAGATAGCTAAGGAGATGTGGAGGCATTGATAGTCATCTTTCAGGACTCATTGGAGTCACAACAGGTCACAGAGAAGTGGAAAACAGCAAACGTAACACCCCCTGATTAAGAAGGGAGGCAGGCAGAATACAGGAAATTACAGATCGGTTAGCTTTCATTTCAAGAGGTATAGAATACAAGAGCAGGGATGTACTGCAGAGGTTGTACAAAATCAGACTGTATCTGGAAATATTCTATACAGTTTTGAGCCTCATATCTAAGGTAGGATGCGCTGGCCTTCACGGGGATCTAGAGGAGGTTTGCAACAATGATCCTGGGAATGAAGTGCTTGTTATATGAGGAGCAGGTGCGAACTCTGGGTCAAAGAAATTTCGCCGGTCAAAGGGAATCTCACTGAAAGTTACTGAATACGGACAGGCTTGAATAGAGTGGATGTGGAGGAGCTGTTTCCACTAGTAGGAAAGACTGGAACCCGAGAGCACACCCTCTAAAGGAATTACCCTTTGGAACTGAGATGAAGAGGAATATTTTTCATGCATAGGGTGATGAATCTATGGAACTCATTGCTACAGAAGGCTGTGGAGGCCAAGACACAGAGTGTTTTTAAGACATAAATTGGTTCTTGATTAGCAGGGGCTCAAGGGTTACAGGGAAAAGGCAGGAGAATGGGATTGAGAAACATCAGCCATGATTGAATGGTGAAGCAACTCGATGGGCCGAATTGCTTAAGTCTGCTCCTACATCTTATGGTCTATTGTGGAGGTGGTTTTACCCAATTAATTTGAAGAATCTCTATCTAAATGTTCTCAATTACAAAAGTTAACAAAGCATGCAGAAATGTTCTTAATGTTCCATCACATTTCAAATCAGATCAGCTACGCTGCACAAAGAAAATCTCTAGAAAACAGAACCGAACATTTCCCCCTTTCCCTGGATTTGGGCTTTGTTTCAAGGAATGTCCTCTTCCACGAGGATCTATAGTTTCCTGTTTTCACCAATAGCATTAATGGACTCGAGGAAGGCATGGAGAAAACCTCGATCTAAATTCTAGGCTTATTTTTATTGCATCCAAACTCCACAATCTGACTTCCTCAGAATATTACCCAAGTCTCTGAAATAGTCATTCCTCCATTATCTGCGAGGGTTCCATTCCTGAGAGCCGCCACGAATGAAATTTGAAAATACGGAACTCACTAAAATAGGTTAAAATGATTAAAAATATAGCAGATACGCAGTTTTTGCCCAAGGATGTTATTTCCTAGTGCAGACAGACAAATCCGTTACTTTGCAGATAGGATTTACAGTACTAGTCTAGCGATACTACCATTACGCTCATCACCTCCCCACATAAATTATTCTAGCTACTTGTCATAGTGGTCTGTGCAGTTATAACTTCACTTCAATTATAAGGAAGCATGAAAATTACACACTCAGCAAAACACTCAAAATATCTGACAAGTATAAAAATGAAAACTGACTCATTAAACAAAAAAAGCATAATGCTACTTTAGATAAAAACAGAAGAACCGATTTGGTTGAGGCCCAGATTTTATACGATCTTTTAATCTGAAAATTTGGAAACAATGGAGAGATTATTAGTGAACATCCAATGAATACAAATCAATTGATAAAAAAGGGCGCATCGATTTACTCACCATTGCTAACTGGCGTCCTATATTTCCCATCGTTATTCCACCAGCAAAAAATATACAAGGTAACCAAGACCGAACATAAAGAAAATCTGGAGATGTATATCTACAAAACAAGGTATAGTAAGTAAAATTAGTTTCTCAATATAGACATGTCCAATTAAAACCCTAATGTAAAAATTTTGAAAAACATGAGTAGTTTCAAACCTTTATTAGCATGTTTGAAATTAAAATAATTTATTAAAAATCTGAATTTAATACAAACGTATATGCATAAACAAAGACCAGAAATTGAAGTGAATTAAATAGAAGTATTTCTTAATATATACTGACGTTGCACAGAGTTTAGACTATGCTGAGTTAAAAATATGTATATCACTGAAGTACAAAACATGTGAATCCATCTAAAACATACACTACACAGAACTTAATTGCTGAAAGACTGTTACAGTTTTAAAAGCAAAGAAAATTCTTTCAACTATCAAGTTTGCCACCATCAACTTCAAGTTACACTTCAAGATGAAGCAATGCACACTATCTTTCCACTCCTGCAACTTGAGTGCCTATGCATTCACTTTGAATTATTTAGCGTTTAGCAAACTTTTTCCACCAAGTTCTTAAAATACCTACAGAATTTCTTGATCTTACACATTGAATAGATGGGCGGTGGAGGTGACTTCAGACCCTCAGCGAACAAATTCCCACTTTATTAAGTTGTTGCATTCTCTGCGAAACTTTAGGGATGTCAAATGTGCTTGTGCCAATTTCCTTTAAATTAACCCATCAATTCCCTACTGGTCCCTCTCCCCAACAGAGTGATACAGCAAAAAAAAAAATCTGGAAAGCATCTTAAAACCAGAATTCATTTTTATACTTTATTCCTTTTAAAAAGAAAAATTTAAAAATACAAAACAAGAGGGGCAATTAGAAACAGATATTCATTTGTTGATTAGGTGCAATTCAAGCAGAGTGATACCACAAATTACAAGTGCGAAATTCAAATTTTTATTTAAATTCTTTAACCAAATATGGGCAGTGCTAGCAAGGCCTACATTAGTTGCCCATTTCCGATTACTTAAGAAGCTAAGCAACTTTCTTGAACCATGGCACATCCAAGGATTGTCAGAAAGGAATTTCAGGTTATTTACCCAGTGACAGTGAAGGAAGTGATATAGTTTCAAATCATGGTGTGGGGTTTGGAAGGAATCTTGAAGATGATAATGTTACCCTGGATCTACTCCCCTTGTTCTTTGAAGTGGCAGAGGTTATGCATTTGGAAGATACTTTGTGCGAATGCATAGAAATGCATCTTGTTGGGGTACACACTGCTACCTCAGTAGTGAAAGGAATGAAAGCTGAAAGTGTAGGATCATGTGCTAATCGAGCGGACTGCTTTGTTCTGGATGGCGTGAAGTTTTTTTGAATGCTGTTAGAGTTAATGGAGGGTTGATAGAACTATATTCGTATAGACAAGTAGAGATTAACCCATCAGACACCGGACTTGTGCCTTGTAAACAATGGCTGTGCTGTGGAGAGTCAGAAGGCAAGTTATTTGCTTGTAGAATTCTCAACTACTGACCTGCTCTTGTAGCCGCTGCATTTAGAACACATTCCTTTGTGCTTTCCACATTTCCTGTCGGCTTTAGTTTTACTAGGGTTCCATGATGCCACATTTGGTAAAATGCTAGCTTGATGTCAAGGGCAACCACCCTCACCACCCCCCCTTTAAGATATAAAACGTTGGCTGAATTTCAGATTAAAAATTTGTGCATTAAACCCAATTATCATTTCCTTATTTTTGACAGCCAATATATTACAGAATATTAAATCGAGAATAGTTACTAACAGTGAAACAATGCAGCAGTGTCAGCAAAAGCAAAACTGGTTGAATAACAAAACAGAGACAACACGAACTGCAGCTGCCAGAGTCAGAAACAACAGTGTGGAGTTGGAGGAACACAGCAGGCCAGGCAGCATCAGGGGAGCAAGAAAGTTGACGTTTTGGGTCGGGACCCTTCTTCAGAGTTTCTGTAGAAGGGTGATAATTATTATTTTGCATAATGGATGAAAATATGCAGTGCAGTTCCTCCACAGGGTCAAGTACAGGGAAGGCTGTTTTTCCTCGATACATATTATGATCTAGGTTTAGAGGTGTAGGGCACAATTTCAAAATGTGGGATGACACTAAAGTTGGCAACATTAACAAACTCAACAGGATACAGACAGGCTGGTGGAACGGGCAGACACATGGTAGATGAAATTTAATTCAGAGGAGTGTGAAGTGGTGCATTTTGGTAGACAGCACATGGAAATATAAAGGATTCAATTCCAAAACAGGGTAAAGGGGCAGATGCACACACAACAAAGTAGCTTAAAGTTACTCCCTATTAAGGCACAAGGTATACTCCACTTAAATAGGGGCACGAAGTGCAAAAGCAAGGACATCCTCAGCTATCCTTTCTGAAATTCTCATTCAGCTTTTCAATGGAGTAGTGTGTCTAATTTTGAGGACAAGTCTCAAAAGATGTAAAAACATTCAGAAAGTACAGAAAAATTCACAGGAGTGATTTCAAGAACAAGGATCTTCAGTTACATAAATAAATTGGTAAACACAGGTATAGGCCATTAAGCCCCTCCCCCATTCTACACCATGGCTGGTCACTCACCTCAAAAAACATTTTCCTGCAGACTCTCCATGGCCGTTGATGTTATTAGTATCCTGAAATCAACATCTATTTTGAACATACTTAATAACGGAGATTCCACGGCCCTCTGTAATGAGTATTCCAAAAATTAAATATCTTCTGAAGGAAGAAAGTCCTCAAGTTTTTTTTTTTTTAAAATCAACCTGTCCAGGGGTGTTATGATACACCTCTGGATCAGGTGGTCCTTGAACCTGGGCTTCCTGGTTCAGTGCAAGTTGGGGTTCTTCCCCTTAGCAGAGATTTATCACAGCTACTCAAAATTATGAGGGGGTTGAAGCAGATAGGGAGAAACTGTTCTCATTGGCAGAAGGGTCAAGAACCAGCAAAGACCATTACGATGAATGGCAGAAAAACCAAGACAACATGAAGGAAAAGGTGGTTCACTAGGTTGACTCCGGAAATAAGGGGTCAGTCTTATGGAGAGAGATTAGCAGTTTAGGCCTATAGACCCTGCAGTTTAGAAGAATGAGAGATCTAATTGAGGTATATAAAGATACTGAAAGGATTGACAAAAGTAAACATACAGAGGATGTATCCTCACATGAGGAAATCTTGAATGACAAGTTATAGTTTTAAGATAAGGGTTAGCAAATCTAAACAGAGCCGAGGAGAAATTACTTCTCTCGAAGGATTGTGAAAATCACTACCCGAGAACGTGGTGAATCCTGGGACATCAAGTAAATTTAAAGAGATATGCAGATTTTTAATTAGTACTGGGTTGAAGGGTAATAGAGAGCAAACTCTAGAGTCGAGGCCAGCCATTATCAAGTGGCAGAGCAGGCTCAAGGGGCTGAATTGCTTTCTCCTGCTCCTAGTTCTCATGTCTCCCCTGCTCTACAACTAAGAAAGAAGCGGATTACATACTAGCATAATGGCACTCTTATCACAAATGGACAATGACACCTAATGTCATTGTCCATCTATTCCTACTTCAGCTCATTCACCTTCAACACTAGTGGTTTGAACACTCACATGATCTTACTTGTTTTCCAAGTTTTTCACTCCATAAACTCCAACTTTTCCAAAACTCTGCAGACCATATTACAACCTTGCCTGCATACAATTTTAAGTATGAGCCAATGTATAATATTTTCTACATGTAAAATACTATACAAATTCACTTTAACTACTGAGAACTTACTACCTGAGTTTCCAATGGCCACTCAATATTGAAATGTAGATGGGAATTTTCACAGAGACCCTGCGTGCAATCTGCAGAAATTGCCTCGGAAATTTAATTTTCTACTGGGCAATTCCTCTAAGCCTGGAAATCTCCATTAAATCAGAAATTTCAGAGGGTTCCAATTAAGTTCCAAAATTAAGGAAAATAGTTACTCAGGAAAAGTTAGACTATTAAATACATAGTCCAACTCCTGAGTGCTATTGAACTGACTCCATATCTACTTAACGCACACCTTAAAATACACCTCCCCAAACCACTTCGGCACCCCTCATAACCTGACCCAACAGAGTTCCTGGGCCATGACTCTCCCATTCACCATCAGGCCCAACTAGGCCTCCTTCTGCCTGATGTGACCCAATCCCACTATGTCCTTAGACCTGACCCAACTTGCCCTATGCCATCACCAGAAGCAAACCTCCCCGCCCCGGGCCCAATTTCCACCCTCCCCATTCCCTGGCAGAGTCTACTTTTCCCACCTACCCCAAACTACCCAAAAATTACATCACTTAATTTGCCACCATGCAACCTATCCCCAGCATCCTATCCACTTCGCACCTTGCTCCTGGCATAGTACTGCCTACTCACCTGGAATCTTACGCCTACCCAGTTGACACAGTACACCTACTTGCCTGGCATCTGCCTCGTCCCCAGATGGCACTGTACATATCTAGCATCCTAATACCTTTTCCTTATGGACTTACCCATTTGACAGCAGCTGTCACTATCGCTCCAGGAACCTTTAAATTTCAAAATACAGCAGCTAGCTACTATGAAAAGAGACATTTGCCTCTTGCACCAGAAAAGAATGACCAGAAGGGAAATACAGCTCCATATTTCTGAGAGAACCCTGATCAGAATATCCTCTCTGAAACAGAGGTCCTTTTGTTCAAGTAAGGGCCTGGGTTGCAATCTCCTCTCATTGGAAAATCCAGCCCAATACTACACACATTCAGGTACAATCATGCCAGGAAAAAATCTGGAAGGTTGCAAAAAAGAAAACAGATCTCACAATCTCTGAAAAACCAGGACTGCATTTACCCACTACAGATAAAGCTCCATGCATGTATTTTCATTAGAGATATAAAAGTGTGAACCGACATCTATGGCTTATAAATCATTTGGTTGAACATTACTATATTTAACTGAAATGCTCCTTACATAGGTTTTATTGGCAACAACCGAGGTGTCTGCATACAATTTAGTTTTATACCGTATCAAGTTAACAGCCACAGAAAATATAATTTTACAAGAGAAAAACAAACTTTTAAAGTCAGATATATGTTCTATTTTGTACTTACTGGTAAACACCATTGTAGACTAAAAGCTGAGTGACCAATGTGGCAAGAAAAGCAATTCCTATTCCAAGCCCGAAACCACTTCGAGATCTATCAAAAGTCCACCACAATCCAATGGAAAGTGCTGCCAATGTAAGGGACAACTGCATATTGTTGGCAAAATCCACCTTCTACGAGAGACTTGTTAAGGTTTACTGGACAAAAACAGCATTTAATACTAATTTTTATTATATAGATTACTTGTCTGATACAAAGTTATTTTTACAGTTTGTCTCAAAAAATGCTGCTTCCATCAGAAACTACACTCCATCTCAATGGTAAGTGCAATTTTATAGAATTAACTTTTTGGAAAAAAATTCTACACAGATGCATCACAACTTTCTGAACAGTCACTTCTCAATTTTGCAGGTATAATTTTTGTAATTAAGTCATCTTTTCTCATTTGATTAGTTTATTGATAGGCATAGGTTATTGAATTTTATAACTAAGGTTGCAGGATATTTTTCGAAGATAACTAACAAAGAATATCAATAATTCGCGGTTTGTAAAACAAAGACAAGGATACAGCACTAGCATGGTTTATGCCAACAAAGACTGCAACACAACGCATTACACTGGACCATTCCCTCTTGAATTTGTGTGGTTCTCCCAGGTGGCTGTCAATGCATGGGTAAAGCAAACCAATCACAGCTGCAGGAACAGAAAAACAGCACTGATTTGCACGACCTAAAATAGCTTCTTCTTACATACAAGACTTTCAGGTTACATTAGTTCAACACACTAACCAATCCAAACAGAAAAATGTTGCTTCAGTAGACACAAATACAGCTAACACAATGTAATATATAACTGATGACAAATAAACAACAATGCCAAGTGGATAAGCTTTTGAAGATTCTTTACAGCCAATCTATTTCTGCATTGAGATTCAGCACAATTTAGGACTTCAAATGTCAGATGGGTAATCATTATGCCAAAACATATTTTGCCTAGAATTACAGGCAAAAAGTAGTTTTCCTTTTTTCAAAAATTGCTTTTTCCATGCTGATTTTTGCAATTTTGTTTTGATTAATATACACCCCGCCTACATGCAATTTCCTTCTTAATGATGATTCACGAATAAACATTTGCCACATTACTTTAATAGCAGTAACACAGGAAAAACATTCCCCATTGATTAGAGAGATAGCAAGAACTGATTCCCCATTGATTCATTTTTTTCTTCCTGTGTAAGCCCATAATCACATTCCATTTCATCACAAATACCAGGAACTTGGATGTTTTTATTCTATAAACCAATAGTCTGCATTCATAATCATTTCTCCCCTTAGATGATATTTTCAAAATCTATACAGTATTATGAATTTGCTATGCAACTTTCAAAATCTTTAAGTTATTTCCATCTTTATAATTCTGTTGAGAAAAAATTGCAAGTATAATCATTTTTGTTTAAAAGTTAAACTCACCCATGGAATCATAAAGTACTTCCAGTGCTCTGCAAATTTCACTAAGTTATAATATGAACAAATTGTTGCACAATGCAACTAATTCAGTCATAAAATGTTACACCAAATTATGGCAAAATATTGTAGCAACATTTTCACGGGCAAATTCCAAGGAACCTATCAGATTTACGTTTGCTGAAGTAACACTTGCTTCAAAGATGACACTGGCACAGGAGGTCATGTTCGGCTCATCAGAGTCCATCTGCTCCAGGCCAGTGGCATCGTTTCTCCATGCACATTTTGTCCTTTTTTTCCTTCTTACATCAGAGGCCAGAGTGGTTTTGATGGGGTGGTGGCAGTGCCTGGAGCAGGGATTCCCAGCAGCAGTGGTGCCTGGGGCAAGGACTCCTTGAAGAGGTAGGCCCGGGGCTTGGATTTTTGGCAGTGACAATGCCCGGATCAGGGACTCCTGGCAGCAGTATGCCCAGAGCCTGGACTCTTGGCAGCATCACCGAGGCACCAGCATCAGCAGAGCCGGGGTCTCCTGGGGAATCAGCATCATCGTTGCTGTTCGCACAGGGGGAAACTCCTTGTGGACCACAGCAGCTTGCAGAAGCCATAAAGCCATGTTTGAGACCCCAATTTGAACAGAAGATGAATTTTTATTTAAGTACTTTCTTTTTATCCTTATTGTACCTCAAAATGGCGCTGGATTGTGGCGACAAAACACTTTTCACTGTATCCTCAAGATATATGCGACAATAAATAAATCATTCATTATAATAAGTTAGCCCAGAACATTAGTCATTTAAATATGGAAAACCAAAGGTGTTTTACTGCAATTGCAAATGCAATTGTGGTTCAAAATATTTAAACCATTCAGCAAGCCACATAGGGAACTAGTTTAAATAAATGCTGGAATTGATCCATTCACAAAATTTGTTTTGATCAACTTACAATCATCTAACCATCTTTTACTTTTGGCATTAAATTTACTATGTGGAGATGTGATCAACAGCAGAACAGTTATTTGTTAAAAAAAAAAGAACTTTTTAAAATACTATCTGACCCCATAACAAAGAAATGAAACATGTTGCTTTTTATCCCCCCCTCTAGTGTCTTCAATCACCTGCCAATAACAAAGATAGTTACTGACAAGTGGTCAAATGATAGGGGAAGCTTCCATTTTGCACTGTGATGTCACATGTCACACAAATGCTATGCTGTCTTAGTACATTTCATTGCTCAAAAAATGATTTTATTGCAGCCTTGATAGGTCAAATTTCCAATTAATTTAATTGGTTTATTGATGTGAGAGCATCAGGAAGATCTGCACAATAAATTTCAACTTTAAAAAAAAATAACATAACATCACTTAATAATTTAACTATGTGAACAGTGATAGATCAATAACAAGGGAACAGCATGAACAAGTTTGGAGCAACAACAGTTTTCTTGCTGTCTTCACATATTACCAGAATGAATTAACAATTCTTGTAAAAATCAAGTAAAAATAAAGACTATATTGTAAGCTTATAGAACTGGATAATGTAGATGCAGTTTATTTGTAAACATCCACTTAAATGGAAATGCATCTTGGCTGTTTTGCTGGAGACTCTAAAAACAGGCTCTCAAACTGGCATGTTGAAACAAAAACGCTTGCAAATAAAAACTATTATGACGTTAATTGTTTTTGGTGGCAAGGGTGGTTGGCGTAATAATGATCATGAAATCGTGATGGCTCAAACTGCTGAAACACATACCCTTGTGTAATAAGTTTTCTTACAGTAAAACTGATTTACTTTCAAACACTTGCAATATCACTGCAGATATTTCCCAAAATACAATATCGCAAAACAGAACACAATCACGTACCTGATGCTGTACCACAACATGGTGGAACCCACCAAGCGGAAGAGAAAATGCTGGCAATCACATCAGGGGGGAAAAGAGTAACATTTCTTTGTATCTGCAGTAAGTTCAATACAAGTGCTAAGAACACACCAATAGAAAAAAGGACGACTCCTCGAATAAGCAAGTTCATGTTCTGGTTTGTAATAGTAGAAAGGTAGTGGCCATGTCTGATCTGCACAGTTGTGGTTTTGGTTCTTTCCTCCTCTGCCATCGAGGTAAGTGTACTCGAGTATCTATTTTCTTACAGATATTGGCTGCAAGAGTAGATCTCTACTTAGCTGATCTATCTTCACGCTTTAATTCACATTATGTACCCACCTAAAAAGAGTTGAAAGAAAACATGATACATAGTTGCAATAGTAAACAATAATAAAACAATTATTTCTGTACAATGGAGTGGTGCCTTAGCAAGCAAATTAACTTTTGACTTGTGGAATACTTGTGACAAGAAATATTATAGGTTTTGATGCAGATAGTGAGCCATGAGGTTACGACGACAACAGAAAGGCCAAAACATTTTGATGGTCAGGGTACATTCCCATATTATCAAGTGATGATCAACATTTTAGTGGCTGGTATGTCTGGAAGACCACCCACAGAACATGGGCCTCCAGCAAAGGTGTTATTGAAAGAGGTGGGGAGATTAGCAGTGAAATATGAAAACGAGCCATATGCTCATCCATCTATTCAAACAGGAAAAAACTGTAGTTGGTTTCAGCTACTTCCATCAGTCCTTTTTTTTTGGGACACTTGTTCTGGCTGTTCCCAGCTTCATGTCACGGGCAGATCTAACACATCAAACACTGCAATTGAAATTACACTGACAACTGAATCTGCTGTACAATGATAAACAACACACACCTGGCAGGATTAGATTCTAAATTGTAGTTCTAAACCAATAATCTCTAATCTAATAACAGATTAACCGATCTATGAGAATAATTCAAAAACAAGTCGTGGTGTATTCCAACACCATTTTTAGCCCTCTGTAAAGATACATATGTTTTAATTTCAAAAAGGTGCCTGAAGAAAATACTGACTGTTTTGATGTCGTTCTTAAGGTTTTTATTGCTCAAACGCCTTCCAAAATATACAGATTCCATGTGCTCATGCAATCCCTTTAATGAACAAATGGATTGCAAAGAATCAGCTAACGATCAAAATAACTTAAAGGCAAAGGCTAAATAAATACCTTAAAGGCTTGATAACAATCATTGTCTTATGAAATATTCAATTTATCCCGATTTCATTTCCACAAACAACATGAGAACTTCATTTTTTTCTATGCCAAGTGGATCTTCTTGAGGAGTAAATGTAACATAACACAAGAAACCAGAAGGGAATAAAGTGGCAATGTCCAGGCACATATTCCTGATTTAAAGAATTTTATATTTTCTAAAAAAATCCTACTTCATCTTTAGAAAATTGAGGTTGATCGTGAAACTGAAATTTAATAGCTGAAGCTTTTTTCCACTATTGTTGGTAGGTTTGGTTAATGTTACCACCAATACATGAAAATGAAGTTTTTAAGCTGCTACACTAATGCAATATCAATACATTCACATTTAATCTGCTCTGTTCTTGTGAAAAGTTCTCTAGTTTCTCCACTGACTGATAATGCCGTCAACCCATGTATTTTATACCAAGTCTTTTCTGCAAAGATGCCATGTTTCAGCAGAGGTGTTAAATGAACATCCAGTTCACTTTGCCAGGTTAACCCAAAAGATCCAACTGCATTATTCAACGAACAAGTTCTACCAGGCACTAAGTAGTAACAAATGTGACTGAACTGAAACAAATGATTTATAAATTATGAAATGTTTATTTATTGTTTCAAATTATGGCCTCAATAAACTTTGCGAAGAAAACATTGACAAATAGACTACTAGCTTGCCAAGTAAAATTTTAGGTTTGTATGCCATCAGTTCTAAAATAATGTAATCATATATGAACATTCCCATTACTGTAAATAAGACATTGTACGGCAGTTGAAAAATTAATACTTTTAAAGTGTTGAACTTATTTCTCAATGTCATCTTTTAAAAGTAGGTTCATTCTTTCCTTAACTATATTCCACTTAGATTAGTGTTGATTTCTTCCCGAATCCTTGACGAAATGTACAAAAAGACAGTAAATACAGTATAGCAGTTAGAAGTACTAATTCTAAATATTAATTTCAGCCCACCCCCAAAAAAAAGCAATTGGACAGTTTTATGTTGAAGCAGTTGTTCATGTTTTGCAGATGTACAAAGTTAACATTTCAAGTTGATGGCCCGTCATCAAAACTCAGAATGAGGAGCCTGATTAATAGGTCATTGACTTGAAGTGCAGGGCAAAATCTGAACTGTGACAAGTTATTCTCACTTTCATGCTCCTGCTTTTTGCTAGTTCCCACATGATTACAATTCAAACAAAGTGCCAGTGGTGTGCATAGGGAACATGTGAGATCACGCAGTTGGGGAATCTTTACAGTAGTCAAAGCCCTCATCTGCTGATAATTTAACAGGTACAAATCAGCTATAAAAGAGCCTCCTGGACAGCAATGTCCTCCATCATGACCACAACTTGATTTATCAAGAGCAGAAAGGTGGCTTGCTCCTAATTCAGTCATCTCAGAAAACACGTTTCACATTTTTACACACTCCATAAAATCCATTACACCCCATTAACGCTGTTGCCCTCTCCACAGATGCTGCCTGGCACGCTCAGTATTTCCAGCATTTTGTTTTTAACTCAGTCATTTAGATTTATTGACATTTCTAAGCTGCATGGGTTTAACTAAGTCTAGACCCCTGACTTCACAAATCTGATACTTAATAATTATTTTATTGCTTGAAATAATACAGTATATTTAATGAGGGTAGTTTACACTCCTCTGAATTTAATTACATTCTGAATAACTAGAGCACCAAAATAGGCCATACAACTAGCCACATAATTTTATATCACAACAGTAACTGGCTGCATATACATGTTTTCTTTTAAATCCTTTAGGTTAATGACACAATCATTTACAGTCTCAACAGCATCCCCAAAGTAGCTTGCACAAAATGAATTAATTTTACAGTCTTTATCATGTAGCTAAGAAATTAGAAACAGTGAGACAAGTGAACAGTTTCCCTTATTCTTTGGTGCTGGTAGAAAGGAAATATTTGTCAGAGTCCAAAGAAAATTATTCAGTCCTCTTCAGATATTACCAAGGGGGTCTTTCATATCAAACTGAATAAAGCAGGGGTCATTCGACATTTCAAGGATACATTCCCTTCGGTAAACTCCAGCACCGTATTGAAGTGGTGCTGCCTTAAGTTTGAATCCCATTATGACGGAGGCTTGCTTCACGATGGTAGAGAGGAGGCCCCGTCACTTAACCACTCCATGAAATCAACAACTGCAAATCAATATTTGCTTTAACGACCTCGTTCTTACGGTATATGGTGTCAAACCTGGTTTCGAGAGAGTCTCAGTATTCACGGATGCAACATGCATTATACTTCCCTGTATCACAGTGGATTCATGAAACAATACAAGCTCGAATAGCAATTACCTCGATGGCTGAGTGCTGCGGAACGTTTGTGTAGCACAACGTGCAATGACTCCAGAGTCGTTCAGTAGATCCTCAACCTGGATCACCTCACTGCTATAGGCACATCGGAGCGTTCACTTCACCCCTCATTTGAGCACTCGCAGCTTTAATTAATACTGAACATAAATCGACCAGAAAGGAGCTCCCTACATTACAAACAAAAAAAAACTGACTTAGCCCAAGCCTTTGCCCCCTCATACGCCGTGGCCCAGAGTATCTCACCCTACCTCATAAACCGGATCCCCTAGGCCAACACGCCACCTGCTCCCTTCCTAAATTACTTCAGAACAGACTCTTACCCGGATTCCGATCAGGTCCTCCGACCGCGCCCCGCCACCGTGAATACAAACCGCTGGAAATTCCGGTCCTATCGCATAGGCCCAGGCCTCTCCCTCTTTCCACCGCCGCTTCCGATCAGCCGAACCGCGCGCACACACACACACACACACAAATAAAACAAATGCTCGCTCCTCGGGTACGACGCAGTGAGGGGTGTGTGCGTGCGCGCGCCCCACCTCCTATGGCGGTCACGTGCCGGTGCAGACCCATTCAGACTACAATGAGCTGTCCCCTCTTGCCTTCTCGCCTCACCCCAACCCAAAACAAAACAGAACAAACCTCACACAACAAAAGGATATTCTATCCTATTCACACTGCTCCTTTGCAAACAAATGTCTAATTTCCCTCTAAATGCACTGATTGAACTAAGCTTTTTACCACACGCTCAGACTACGGTAAATGCCTCATGCAGTTAGTACCTGAAATGGGTTAACCCTCAGCAGAAGATAAACTCCGCCAATCCAGTTGCAAAACACTATTCCGGGGAGGGATTAATTAATGCTGTATCAGTTTTGTAGCAAAAATCCCTATCATTCAAAACCCTGGGCTTTTAACAGAACTTCTAAAAGTAAAATAAAAGGCAGCTGGGCTTCGCTCTGGGGAAATACACAGTCACAGGGTCACTGCCTGGACCCATTAATCGATGCCCAATTTAGTGAGGACACCTGATCGGCATAGTCCGCAACAGCCCAGAACTCCTGGTCTCAAGCAATCTGATAGCCTCACGCACACATGTAATCCGGTAACTCGGAGGCTGAAGCCTTAAGAGTCACTTGACCTGAAACGTTAACTCTGATTTTTTTTTTCTTCACAGACGCTGCCAGACTGGCTGAGCTTTTCCAGCAACTTTGTTTCTGTTAATGTCCCTGTGACTGTGTATTTCCCCAGAGCACAGCCCAGTTGCCTTTTTTTTTAAAAAAAGTTTTAGAAGTTATGTTAAAAGCCCAGGGTTTTAAATGATAGAGATTTTTGCTCCAAAACCAGAGAACTGCTGCAGTTCTGAGGGAGGATCACCAGACCCTAACGTTAACTCTGAATTTTTTTTCACAGATGCTGCCAGACTTGCTGAGCTTTTCCAGCATCTTCTGTTTTTATTCCTGATTTACAGCATCCGCAATTCTTTCGGTTTTTAATCATTGGAGCCTTTACAGATACCAAGACACCCAAATTCAATCAACATTCATTCGCAGATATACCAGACGTTCCGTCTTATCGAAATACATTTACACCTACTCTAAACTGTCAGGAAGCTAATTCACCTCAAAAGAAGGCAACAGTAACACAATTAGGAAACGCAGATTTGGCACGGAGATAAGAGAACTACAATTCAGTATAAAAACCAAAAGAACTGTGGATGCTGTAAATCAGGAACAAAAACAAAGTTGCTGGAAAAGCTCGGCAATCTGGCAGTATCTGTGAAGGAGAAAACAGAGTTAACGTTTCGGGTCTGGTGACCCTTCCTCAGAACTGATGGTGTCTGGGAAAACATCAGTTTATATGCAGAAAATAGGGAGGTGGGTGGGGTAGGGAATAAACGATAGGATATAGCCAAGAGAGGGACAGACAACAGAGTTGCTAACGATCAGGCTGGGAGGGTGAATAGTTGTTAATGGGGACTGTTAGTGACTAACAACAGGGGGTGTGTAGTGGCAGGCTATGTGGTAACAAGGCCTGGTGTGTGGGGTGGGGGGCTGGGACATGGGTGAGTTTTGGCCCTAAAATTATTGAACTCAAAATGGAGTCCAGAGGGCTGTAGGGTCCCCAAGCGGAACATGAGGTGTTGTTCCTCCAGCTTGCGTTGGGCTTCACTGGATCACTGTAGCAAGCCAGAGAAAGAGATGTTGGCCAGGGAGCGGGGTGGTGCATTGAAGTGGCAGGCAACAGGTAGTTCAGGGTCTTTTTTACAAGCAGAACGTAGATGTTCTGCGAAGCGGTCGCCAAGTCTACGCTTCGTTCCCCCAATGTAGAGGAGACCACATTTTGAGCAGTGAATGCAGTAGACTAGATTCTTGGAAGTGCAGGTGAAGTGTTGCTTCACCTGGAAGGTATGTTTGGGCCCTTGGATACTGGGGAGGGAGGAGGTAAATGCGCAGGTGTTGCACCTTCGCCAGTTACAGGGGAAGGTGCCGTAGGGCTGTGGGGAGGTGTTGGGGGTGAAGGAAGTATGGACCAGGTTGTCCCAGAGGGAACAGTCCCTGCGGAAGGCGGACAAGGGAGGGGAGGGGAATATGTGTCTGGTGGTGGCATCTTGCTGGAGGTGGCGGAAATGGTGTCTGATGATCTTCTGGATGTGGATGCTGGTGGGATGCTAGGTGAGGATAAGGGGAACCCTATTGCTGTTGCGGGAGGGGAGAAGGGGTGAGGGCAGAAGTGCTGGAGATGGGTCGGACCCGATTGAGGGCCCTGTCGACAACGGAGCTGGGGAATCTGCGGTTGAGGAAGAATGTGGACATTTCGGAGGCTCCCTTGTCAAAGTTGGCCTCATCTGAACATATGCGATGGAGACGGAGGAACTGAGAGAATGGGATGGAGTCTTTACAGGAAATGGGGTGTGAGGATGTATAGTCCAGGTAGCTGTGGGAGTCGGTGGGTTTGTAATGGATATTAGTGGCCAGTCTATCCCCAGAAATGGAAACAGAAATGTTGAGGAAGGGAAGGGAGGAGTCAGAGATAGACCAGGTGAAAGTGAGGGCAGGGTGGAAATTGAAGGCGAAATTGATGAAGTTTTCCAATTCTCGATGAGAGAGGGAAGCAGCACCGATGATATCATCGATGTATCGGAGAAATAGTTGTGGGTGGGGGCCAGAATAGGACTGGAACAAGGAATGTTCCACGTACCCCACGAAGAGACAGGCATAACTGGGGCCCATGCGGGTACCCATGGCAACCCCTCTTACCTGAAGAAAATGAGAGGAGTTGAAAGAGAAGTTGTTGAGGGTGAGGACAAGCTCAGCCAAACGGAGGAGGGTGGTGGTGGGTGGGGATGGTTCAGGCCTTTGCTCCAGGAAGAAGCGGAGAGCCCTAAGACCCTCCTGGTGGGGAATGGATGTGTAAAGGGATTGCACATCCGTGGTAAAGAGGAGGTGGCTGGAGCCGGTAAACTGGAAGCTTTGAAACCGGTGTAATGCGTCAGATGAATCATGGATGTATGTGGGTAGGGATTGGACTGGGGGGAGAAGACTGAGTCAAGGTAGGAGGAGATGAGTTCTGTGGGGCAAGAGCAGGCTGAAACAATGGCTCTACCTGGACAGTCCTGTTTGTGGGTTTTTGGCAGGAGGTAGAAACGAGCTGAGCGGAGTTGGGGGACTATTAGCTTGGAAGCAGATGGGGGGAGATCACCGGATGAAATGAGATCCGTAACCATAGTGGATATAATGGCCTGATGTGCCATGGTGGGGTCATGATCCAGGGGAAGGTAGGAGGAGGTATCTGAGAGCTGGCGCTCAGCCTCTGCAAGGTAGAGGTCAGTACGCCAGACTACAACAGCACCACCCTTATCGGCAGGCTTGATGACAAAGTTAGGGTTAGATCTGAGTGCACGGAGTGCAGTCAGTTCGGAAGCAGATAGGTTGGATTTGTTGAGAGGGGCAGTGAAATTGAGGCGACTGATGTCACGTCGACAGTTCTCAATGAAAAGATCGAGTGCAGGTAAAAGGCCGGAGGGAGGGGTCCAGGTGGAGGGAGAGTGTTGGAGTTGGGCAAAGGGGTCTGTGGGGCGGGGAGAGGACTCTTGTCCAAAGAAATGAGCACGGAGGCGAAGACGGCAGAAGAACAGTTCGGCGTCATGTCATGCCTGAAATTCGTTAAGGTGGGGATGCAGAGGGATAAAGCTGAGGCCTTTGCTGAGTACAGAGCGTTCAGCATCGGAGAGCGGAAGGTTAGGAGGGATGGCGAATACCCAACAGGAGGTGGGGGGGTTGGGGGAGGGGATAGAGTCAGAGAGAAGGGGAGGAGAGGTAGGTTTCAGAGGGCCATGGGTATTTTTGAGTTGGTGCATCTTGTGGGCCTTGATGCCTGAAAGGAAAAGGAAAAGTTTCTTGTTAGCATGACGAATGAGCCGGAGGATGAAGTGGAACTGCGGAGTGGTATAGCCCTGAGCCAGTGTGTTACGATGCTGTTGGAGAGAAAGGTTGAGAGTGCGCATGTGACGCCGCATGGCACTGAGCGTGGATCTCAGGATGCAGCGAGAGCAGCTGTCCATGGAACATTGAACATCACAGAGACATCTGTGATCCTGGGAGGATTCAAAACATGAGGGATGAAACTTCAGTTGGAATCTACGTGGGGTGAGCCTGAGCTGGAGGCAGTCACTGAGGAATGTGATATGGCTGTGGAAATGAGTTTTAGCAAATACCTGGTCAAACACCAGGAGTGACAGTGAAATTAAAGTCGGTGGGCAAGAAGAGAGGTTGGAATGGAAATCCCATCGGAGAGAGGAGCAGAACTTCTTCAAGGTGGGACAAAAACAAAGTTGCTAGAAAAGCTTAGCAGGTCTGGCAGCATCTGTGGCGGAGAAAACAGAGTTAACGTTTCAGGTCCGGTGACCCTTCCTCAGAACTGATGGTGGCTGGGAAAACGTCAGTTTATATGCAGAAAATAGGGAGGTGGGTTGGGTAGGGAATAAACGATAGGATAGAGCCCAAAGAGAGAGAAAGACAGTTGGACAGACAAAGGAGTTGCTAACAATCAGGCTGGGAGGGTGAATAGTTGTTAATGGGGACTGTTAGTGACGAACAACAGGGGGTGTGTAGTGGCAGGCTATGTGGTAACAAGGCCTGGTGTGGGGGGTGGGGAAGTATACAATTCAGTATAATTGGGGGCCCTGATCTCACGGAAGGAGAGAAGAAAGAAGAGTAATCCACCTCAAGAGCTATTCCCACAGCTACGAATAGGAGAAGGACTCGAGAGCTACCGCACCAAGAATGACTCCTACAGCCATCTCCAACCCCCAGCGACCAATCACAACCTGCAGACCGAACAACCAACAACCTCCGAGAACCACTGACCCGGACAACACCGCAAGGCCTCCGACACATCCTGAGGTGAAAACCCGCTTGCAAAACCCGCCAAAAAGTAAGAAAACCAAAGTACTCGCCTGACACGTTCACAATACATCTTACCGCATCAG